TTAAGGATATCCTTATCAAAGATTTCTCCACATTTGCTAACAGAGGACTACCCACTTTCAAAAAGGTGAGGATATTTTAAGCTGTTATATTTAAGTATATCCAGAAAATATATACATTGAAAAAAAAATTTAGATCCAAGAAAATTTATTTTAACATAGTACCAATGACTTATTTACTTAATATAATCACATATTTATTTAGAATTAGATATCTTTACTTAATTTAAGTACTTATATTAAGTAAATAAGTTATTGGTACTATGTAAATAAATCTTTTCTTGAATCTAATTTTTTTTCCAGTGTAAATACACACACGGCGCATGATTTTTAAAGATTCGCATAATATTATACTTCTATAATTTTCGTATAATAAAACTTATTTTTAAAATATGAAATGTATCTCCAAAGAGCTTTATACAAGTCTTTGTAAGTTAGTAGTTCTTAATTTTAAATTCTATTACAATTCTAATATATCTTTGTCACAGGCCGATCCGCTGTCGCAACATCTTTTCGCTTTGGAGCCGAAGAGATGGCGACCGTTGAGAACGAGACTGTCGCCTGTTTTTACATCCGGTAAACTAAAGGAGATGTTCTCCTTAATATCCAAATGCGCTGACCACCTTGTCCAATACATGGAAAAAGTAGCGAGCAGAAATGAACCTGTAGAATGCCGCGAATTGACGGCCAAATATACGACCGACGTTATCGGTACCTGCGCCTTCGGCATCGAGATGAACGCTTTGTCGGACGAAGACAGTGAATTTCGCAAGATGGGAAGACAAATATTTAATCCGTCTTGGAGAAATACATTACGATTCAGACTGAGACAAATGCTTCCGTGGCTTTACGAATTATCCGCGTACGTCCTACCGCAAACAGAAGTCACCAAATTCTTCACGCGCGTTATCGTGGAGACTATGGACTACAGAGAAACGAATAATATCACTAGACACGATTTCGTTGATATGTTGCGCGAATTAAAGAAACATCCAGATAAATTGGGCGATATTGGTATGTATCTATATATTTATATGTTACTTTTTTTTATCTGTCATAGAACTATCTTTCACATAAAGATACCATAGCAGTTTGCACACTCGTTTAAAATAATTTTATAAATCACAATAAAGTAAAATTAATTTTTACTTTTATAACAACAATTTGTTCTTTATTGCCGAATTTTGACATAGTATAACTTTGAAAATAATGAATTTATTATGTGTGTGAGTTGTTGAGTGATTATATAATCTAATAAAGAATTAAATGGTAATAAATAAATTACATTTTAGATTTGACAGATAATTTAATAGCTGCCCAAGCGTTCGTATTTTTCGCTGCTGGCTTTGAAACTTCGTCAACAACTATTAGCAATGCGCTCTATGAGTTAGCATTAAATCAAAAAGTACAAGACAATTTACGTCAAGAAATTGACGAGATGTATGCAAAACATGGCGAAAATTTAACGTACGATGATATAAAAAAAATGGATTATTTGGATAAAGTTTTCAAAGGTACGTCGTTTGAAGAACAATATTCAGCGATATTCTAATATGATCCCACTGCTAGTAAACAATCTAATTGTAGTTTTTCAATATTTCCATAATTTGACACTATTCTTAATGCATGCAGAAACATTACGAAAATATCCACCAGTGACAGTTCTTATGAGGCAATCCATGTCGAGTTATACTTTCGATGGTACTAAAGTTAGTATACCGAAAAATCAAAGAATATGGATTCCTGCATATGCGATTCAGCGAGATCCGAGTATTTATCCGAAACCAGATGTCTTCGATCCTGAAAGATTTAATGAGGAAGCTGTGCGAAGCAGACATCCGATGGCTTATCTACCTTTCGGCGACGGCCCAAGGAATTGCATTGGTATAGTGAAATGATTTTAAATCACTTTTTATTTCTTTTTGCGCAGAAAAATATTTTTAATTAGAAAATATTTTTATTATACATATTTTCCAACTGAAAAGTATTTTTGATCGAGAACTTTAATCTGATCAACATCATTATTGTTTTCTTACTTTCAGGGGCTCGCTTCGCCGTTTATCAGAGTAAAGTTGGACTTGTAAAGATATTACGAAACTACAAAGTCGAAACTTGCGAGAAAACTACAATACCCTACGTAAACAATCCTCGAGCATTTCTATTAATGCCAAAAGACGGACTACATTTAAAAATAATTAAAATTAATCGATCATAATTTTTTTAAGTTTTTCCCGAACTCTCCATAGAAAGCGTAATAAAACGTGAAGAAAATCAATTAGAACAATGATAGGAGTTATTGTTTCTGCTGTAATAGTTATTAATTTTTTAATGTTGTTTAATGTAAAATAGTTACTAATTAGATAGTTTAATTGTAAGTTTATACTGTTACATATATAGATATCTTAATAATACATGTAATATTTTAAAATTATTTTCTTTATTTCTTGAGATAAAGAGATAAACGCCCACACAATACAAAACTCAATATAAATGTTAACGTTATACCGAAAACATTATACAGAAAAAAATTCTGATTCAGTAAAGTGTAATCATTGTGGAATAATCTAAAAGTAGAATGCAAAAGAACTAAAGATCACTTATGCGATTATACAATACATAACAGTAAGGTAAATGTACCAATGTCCGGAACCCTAAGACCTATGTCTAGACACCTTTATCATTTTAGTTTTTATATAAATATACAACGCGAATTAAAATCAAAGATAAAAATACGATACTAGAAAAATGTTTTTAGCTTTGATTCTTTAATTTTTATTCGCGTTATAATTTATTTAAGAACTAAAATGATAAAGATGTCCAGACATAGGTACGTGTCCCAGGCATTGGTACGTCTTACTAGACAAACATCCAAAACGTGGTGTCATCCTAGAAAATTACAAAGTATCAAAATGCATAGCAACATGCAATTATTGCAAAACAATAATAAGTTTTAAGTATGGTGTGTTCGTTCTGATAAATCATTCAGAAATAAATCACCTTGATAAATGTAATTGTATTAATACGAATATAAAAAGAAGAGCAGAAATATGGGACAAGTACGACGTAAGAGGTAGAGATGCGACGTGCAAAATATGTAAGACGGTTTTATAAAACATAACAGTAGGATAACACCGGAGCCTGCATGCCACTTGCGAGTTTGTGAGTAAGTATTTATCCAAAAACGTGTAAAATATTGATGAATATAAAGTAGGTAAATAAGTAATTGTAATGAAATAATAAATAAGTAAAGATCTAAATAGTCCAGTTTTTATCACGGTACATATATGTATTATAATAATTATATGCAATTTTGACTGAAACAGCGATCGTCCGTGTGTGTTTATGGATTATGGTAGAATTCCTCGAAACAATACAAAATCATATTTCGTGTATATTTTCGAATAATTTAATTAAATCGATGAATTAAACAAAAAACCGTTTTGGAAAATATAATACTCTAAATTATAAAGCGTGAGGAGAACGACAGCTGCAGAGCTGATATTACCATGAGAAATAAATTGGAAATATTTACGACAAATTAAGTACGTGAACGAGCGAATTACGTGCTTGTTCTTTAATGAAAAACGGAATTGTATTCACGGACGCACATTTGATACGCATTTTGAAGCAAGCTCGCTCCCTCGTTCGCGATCGTTCGCGATCGCGACAAGCAAAGTGAGAACGCCAAACGCGCGCGATCGTTCTCTTCAATCACTTTAATTGATTAATAATTCCCGCACTCAACGAGAATTTCAAGCTATTCATTGAAGCATCTTCCCGCGCGATTCACTTATTCGGAGTAAGAATCGAAACGGAGCGCGGAGGCAGGAGACGCGAATTCCGAGGTTATGATCGTTTCACTGCAACACGTAGGACGAGACAACGATTCCGTTAAGATTCGAGTGTATCGCGCTTTGACACATTTAAGTATCTCTTATGTACAATTTACTCACCGATCACGGCACACTGCAGCTAAGACCCGCCAAAAATCACAGCAGGGTGATACGTACGACGTCCAGCACACGGCATTCGGCGTTCATTTCGCCCAGCGACGGCATCCCACTCAGTTTCAGTCGACACAAAAAGCAACAAAATATTCGACGTATGTTCATTTTGCAACACTCCGTAATCGGATTTCGTTTCATTCGCAAGAAAGGAATTACACGAACGACGTCTCGCACCGATCGTTGAACGGTTGAACGTGTCACGACACTTCACCGACTCACGACGCTCGACGCACGCTTGCGCGCGGCCGCGCGACGCTGCCGCCGCACAGCCGGGCGAGAGGTCGGACGCGATTGGCTCGCGAGTCGAGCCCCCAGATCCGGCCAATCACGTTCGGCCGCTCCGAGCCGGCGGCGCGGCGGTCGCGCGCGCCGTGACGTATGTATGTATGTACAGCGCCAGGCGCTACCGTTGATCTTGAGAGCAGCGTACGATTAAAGTCTCCGCGCGGCCGATTGTTTTTGCCGGTGAGCGGCCTTGCTACTCGTTTTTGTCGACGCTCGGAGTACCGTTACCTGCGGAAGTTATTCGGCTATCATTCTCCCGATGGATTTTGCACAAGTGAGAAGTGTTCGTGCTCCGTGCACGTCG